AAGAAAGAAAGAAAGAAAGAAAGAAAGAAAGAAAGAAAGAAAGAAAGAAAGAAAGAAAGAAAGAAAGAAAGAAAGAAAGAGACAGACTACGGGTGCCAGTAAAAAAAAGCCCACGGTTAGCTGGCTGCAGCTCCTGCAGCGACTTTTAAACGACCTCTCAAAGGAAGAATTCCGAAGAGAATCGGGAGGATGGAAAACGATTGCTGGACCAAGGCGTCCAGGGCCCTTCCTTGGTCTCTAAAGCCGACCCTGTACTGAGCCCGGAAAAAGTTAAAGCAACACCCGGAGAAGAGGAGAGGGAGGCAAGAAAAGCGGCCGGCTAGGGTGGGTCCGAGGGCGCCATCGCATCTTTGGAGTGGACGGCTGGCTGCTGTCGGAGGGGAAGAAAGCAACTGCGGCCCCATCGGAAGCGCTTCTAATTGAGGCGAACTGGCGGCCACCCGCCTCGCTGTATTAGCCACCAAAGAGCTTCAAAAGGGCAGAAAAAGATGCAGCTAACAGTTCGGCCCTGCGGATAAAGGTCCTGACCGCCTTCATTCCTCGCTTCTTGGCAGGAAGGCAAGCCAGTCTCCAGCACCTCTCAAATGTGTCCCGGCTCTCTATAGCTCTAGGCCAAGTTCTGCCAGCCTCCCTCTATCTCAGGACCCTCTTAACAGCATTATGGGCCCTGGGCAAAGGAGTGTACTGCCCCCCACCCACGACAACTACTCACAGGAATAAAATTGTAAATGGTGGATAAAATTCAACATAGCTTGATTTTATTGGCACTTCCAACAAAATCAGTGTTGGTATGGGGCCCTTAGCTCTTGGGGTCCACGGATATTAAGACAGCCCGGCTCTACCTGGAAGGGTCCCGAGAACTCAGGGGCTGCTAATAGACTTCAGTTTAGCGCAATCCCTGTCTGTCACCTGCCCTTGGGAATCCAGCTCACTGAGACCGCAGTTAATCTGAAGCTAGGGTTTGAATTCTACAGCAGACAACTTCTGTTGCTCCTTGACTACAGTTAAACCTGGTATCAGGCCCAGGGCAGGCAAAGGGATTTTAGTTCAGAGGATTGCAAGTGAGAAGAGTGAAGGCAACAGGTTAATTGTAACCACTGTATTTTTAATACAATATATAGCCAATTTCAGTCCTAGAGGAGATCAACCCCGACTGCTCTTTAGAAGGCCAGATCCTGAAGAGGAAACTCAAATACTTTGGCCACCTAATGAGAAGGAAGGACTCGCTGGAGAAGAGCCTAATGCTGGGAAAGATTGAGGGCAAGAGAAGAAGGGCAAGAGAGAGAGAACAAAGTGGCTGGATGGAGTTCAGGCTCAAGCAGTTGGCATGAGTTTAAAGGGTCTCTAGAGGATGGTAGAGGACAGGAAGGGCTGGAGGAAGGGTTGTCCATGAGGTCGTGGTCGGACACAACTTCGCAACTAACAACAGCAATAACACAAGGTTGTGCCTTAACATTGCTTTTGAAAAAAACTGTTAATTGGAAGCAGCAACCAATTCAAAGATCTAGGTTGTGCCTCTCCTTGTGAATTATATTTCCATATGAATGTGTTTCAGGAAAACACAAGTCCTATTCGCGCCACTTGANCAGCTTCTGCCAACCTAGCAGTTCGAAAGCATGTAAAAAATGAAAGTAGAAAAGTAGGAACCACCCTTGAAGGGAAGGTAACAGTGTTCCGTGCACCTTCAGCATTTAGTCATGCCGGCCACATGACCACGGAGAATGTCTTTGGACAGTGCTGACTGAAACGGAGATGAGCACCGCCCCCTAGAGTTGGAAACGACTAGCACATATGCGCAAGGGGAACCTTTACCTTTTACCTAGTCATTGTAATCAATTCATGGCTTTGGTTTTCTATGTGGACTCTCTCAAAGAGCTGACAGTTCACAGTCCATACATCTTGAAGTTGCAACAGCTGGGAAACAATGCTATTGGTGATTCCACACAGGAATAGATAAATGAATTGGAAACACAACTCTTCTCTTCAAATCCTGGGCACACACACTTTCTTAAAAGCATCCTTCACATGTAAGAAGTAACATCCGCAATGTAAATGATAAATGTCCTGGTTGGAGGTCTATTGACAAAATCCTAAAGCACAAGAAGGCGAGCAGCTGTTATGAAGACGTATGAGGAGACCCACTTCGCTCTGTTTGGGCCATTTCTCCTGCCTCCAGGCCAATTTGGTCATTCCCAACTGTGTGAAAGACTATCCTAAGCACCTGTTTAATTATCTGTGCTTTCTGAATGACTGCTGCTTTGCGTTTAATAACCACTGCTCAGAAGTAATTGGGGTGATTATTGTATGGCCTGGAGGATACATATCAGCTCATTATTTCCAGGGAGTAACATCAGAATACAAAAAAAAGAAAAAAGGGGGGAAAAGATAATCAGAGGCTTATTTGTAGTGTTTGGTGTAATAGGTTTAATGAGATTTGGAATGTTTGAGAGATTAGACCTTATCTGCCCCTCCACCCCCAGCATCCCAGCAGGCCTGATACACAGTGAAGATCAAATAGTATCCTATATATCTGGTACTGAGAGTTAGAATAGAAAACAATATTTATTTTTCCAGAAGTTCCAAAGAAACGGTGATACTTGTCACTCTAACCTTTTTATAGCTCTATGGCGCTGCTACGGGTAATCCTCAACTTATGACCACAATCGGGACTCAGATTTTACAACCTGTTTGCCATGATTGCTAAATGAATCATTGCAACTGTTAAGTAAATCAGTGCAGAGGTGATATTCAGCTAGTTCTGACCAGTTCTGGTGAACTGGTAGCAGACGTTTTCAATAGTTCAGAGAACCCGCAAATACCACCTCTGGCGGACCCCACCCCCATCTATTCTCTGCCTTCCGAATACCAGCTGATTGGAGTCCCAGCTGATGGGCTGGGTCTTCTTTTGTTGCCCAGCACAGGAGAACGGAGCTGGAAAGCATGTTAGTGGTGTGGGGAGGGAATGGGGATTTTATAGTATCCTTGCCCTGGAGTCGGGTGGAAATGGAGATTTTACAGTATCCTTGCTCCGGGAGTGGGGAGGGAATGGGGATTTTGCAGTATCCTTCCTCTGCCATGCCCACCAAGCCAAGCCACACCCACCAAGTCACATCCACAGAACCAGTAGTGATTTTTTTTTGAATCCCACCACTGAATCAATGGTTGTTAAATTAAACCAGCTTCCCACATGACTTTGCCAGTTGCGAAGAGTGTAAACAGCAGTCATGTGACCCTGAGATGCTGCTGCAACCATTATAAATCTAAACCATTGGCCAAGCATCCAAATGTTCATCATGTGAACGTGGGGTATTGCAATGTTCATAAGCGCAAGGACTACCTTGCTAGTTGTAATTTACGTAGTTGTAAATTACTTTTGTCACTGCTGTTATAATTTTGAACTGCCACTAAACAAATGGTTATAAGTTGAGGGCTACCTATACCAGTAGTGGGTTTCAGCTTCCGCTGCAACTGGTACACTGCAACAGGAGCCAGGCGTGCACCATGGGTACGTGCACAGTGCATGCATGCACACCAACCGCCTGTGACACTCCAGCTGCTCGGCGGAGCATCACACAGGCGCCGTACGCTACATGTGCAGATGGCCAAGTTCCTTCAAATACAGGTAAGGAATGAGAGTGTGAGGGCCCTCCAAAGTACCATTCCGGTACGGTGGCTGCTACTTCCGGCAAGCACCGGTTACGCGCGTACCGGGGCATACCGCCTGCAACCCACTACTGGCCTATACCATATTTCTTTTTAAGCTTTTCTTTCCCACACTCTGAAGAGACTCAGTTATTACCGTGTTTCCCTGAAAATAAGACAAAGTCTTATTTTCTTTTGACCCCCGAAATAAGCACTTGGCCTTATTTTCAGGGAGATCTTATTATTTTTGAGGAGCAGGGGGCAATGAGTGTGGTCTCCTCATGACTGCTGCTGCGTTGCAATATTTTCGGGGAAGGCTAATTTTTTGGGGAGGGCTTATTTTAGTGCATGTGTTCAAAAGCCTGATTGGGCTTATTATCCAGGGAGGTCTTATTTTCAGGAAAACAGGGTATTAGTCCCAATACTACAGGTATAGGCAACACTTTTGCACGATCATGAAACCTTATTCTCAGGAGGTTACCAATTACTTTTCTCTTCTTTAGAACATTGACAAATAGGCTGTACTCTAGGTATGTAAATAAGACTAGATCTTCTGGCCAAGCCAATTGTGGTATTGAGAACCACAAGGAAAAAAAATCATTAAATATTAGACCACTGACTGGAAGCATTAATTTAAAAAATGCCAATGTTTAGATACTTTAGACACTTAAAACAAAAATGTTAGAGTCACTGAAGAATAGCCTAATGCTTGGAAAAATCAAAGGTACAGAAAATTAGACAACATGGCTAGATGCTACCACTGGTGATACAAGAATGAACTTACAGGAACTCAGCATAGCAGTTCTGACACAGAGTCCTGGGGAAAAAAAATATTCATCATTTAAGAAAAAATGGCAGGAGTGAACAACAAGAAAATGACTACATTGGAGAAGGGAAAAAAAGAAGCTATGATAAACTATTTCCATGTTGTGCCAAGAAAGCAATGCGGGCATATTAAAAAGACCCCAAAAGTTGAATTCAAGTAGAGGTATCTGTGGAAGGCCTTCAAAGAGAAGAACTTACAACAACAAGAAAAAAAACACCAAATCAGTTGATGAAGAATAAACTTTACCATGGATATTTGAAGTTGTTCAGATAGGTAAAAGGAAAGGAATTATTCATCAGCTATTACTAAAAAAAGTAAAATAAAGTGCAAATAAATACAATGGAAATTCTGCCACAAGAGGTTCCTTACAAGAGAAAGTAAAGGACTTACATTCAATAAACCCAGTTCCCTGATTGTAACAGCAAAGTGATATTATATCAATTTATAATATCAAATGATGGAATCTTGAAATTAAACTTAGAGAATTTAGAGAATAAGCAGGAACTGACCTTGAATTTTCTCACTTTCATTCCATGTTACTGTACTACTTTGGAATTTGTTTTTAAACCGCAATGCCACAGAGGCTAAAGTTTAAAGTACTTTAGGGAGTACTAACTATCCTGCAAGAGGCTTTATTTCCAGGCAGAAGATGGTTTTAGGTCTGAGCTGCAAACAAGATCAGCTTTATTGGTCTGAAGCTTAAGCCAAGGGGCCACTAAGAAAGCTTGTGCTTAGGGCGGAACGGAAGAAAATTCTGAGTTAATGAGGCCCAAGGCTGTTTAGCCAGGTAGGCCCTGACTATAGCTTCCAGGCAGCATACAAATACACCAGGCTCTCAGACTCTGCTGAGCAACATAGATCCAGGAGTTTTAAAGAACAG